ATGTAGGACTACTGCTATTTATTCAACCACTAATTAGCTGATTGAATTGGGCATGAACTCCATCTTACTTTTTTAAAATTTTTTATAAATTTAGCATATTGAATCACCATGAAAGAAGTTACAAAGCTTTCGGGTTTAAGTCTCGGTCATACAATGAAACACCCACACCTTCCCCAGTGGCACCACCAAAACCCCCAGTATGCCCCCATCCCACACCCTCCCCCTACCTGTGGGGCAGATGATTTCCACATTACTCTCTCTCTACTTTAATCACATTCAACATTTTGACACCAGACCCACCATTATTATTTGGGAGTTTACCCCAACACTCAGATCTGCTGAAAAGGCAACTGTAGACAATTTGTTTTCTATTTCTGGTTATGAATAACATATGATGTCACGTGACTGCAGTAGTGGCTGCACGATTTTGAAATTCTGAAATTTTAACATTTAAATTTGGAGGGATTTTTGCCAAAACCTTCTGGGTTCCGAGATTTGTTCCTGAATCTCTGGAATCATGGCCGTTAAGTAGCTTGATCAGTTGCAGAAAGGCCATTCATGGGCAACGACTCAGGGTCTTGTTGGGATGGGGAGGAAAGGGCCGGCTCCACCTCCATCTCGTGAAGCCCCGCGTGTCTCATCACTGAGGGCCCAAACCTGACTGTCCAGTGGCCACCAGAGCCACCTAGGGGGAGCAGGCAGAGGGACAACACCCTTTCCTTCTTGGGATAGTCCTGCAACAGTAACCTACTGCGTGGTTCGGACGCATTTCTGCCAAAAGCCGCTGGGTTTTGAAATTTGTTTCTGAGTCTCTAGGATCATGGCCGTTAAGCAACTTGATCAGGAGCCATAGAAGCCGTTCATGGATGGCGACTCGGGGGTCTCATTGGGGTGAGGAGGAAAGGGCCAGATTCACCCCCATCCTGTGAGGCCTCACATGTCTCATCACTGCGGGCCCAGACTGTGCAGTGGCCTCTGGAGGATGGCGTCCATCGGGCAGCCAGGGGGAACAGGCCAAGGCACGAAACCTATTCCCACATGGGGTGGCCCAGTGCCGGTAACCTACTGCAGGGACCGGATGCATTTCTGCCAAAAGCTGTTAGGTTTTGAGAATTTGTTTCTGAGTCTCTGGGATCATGACCGTTAAGCAGTTCGATCAGGAACCAGAGAGGCCATACCTCCAATTATATAGCTCAGCCTGAGGTGGTTTGTGGGTGTGTCTCCCACATACCTAACTTTTGGCCGTTTACTTTTTTGGAAAACTTTTCCCCAAGTTTTTAGGGTCTGGCCAAAGGCACAGCAGCAACTTTGGGGTATCTGGAAGTCTGAAGGCTCTATCAGGCTGCTAATGCACTTGCCTCACAGGTACAGATTGACCTGCTGGCGGCACCATACCCCCAATAATAAATTTTTTTGAGTCTCACATTCTTCTAGGTTCTTACAAAAGATAAAACAATGTACTTTATAATTATTAAACATGATGGTGTCTTTGTAACTTAAGGTGCAAATTTAGTATAGTTCATATCTATAAGTCTCTTAAGTAAAAACATTACAAAGAATTTGAAAAAACTGATTCTGAGTCCCATGTTCACAAAAATGCTTCTAATCACCAAGACTAAAATCATTAAGGCAACACTTGGAAATGAAATCTAAGTAGACTGAAACTGACCATGAATACCTCATATTCTGAAAATAAAAGTGCTTAGAAAATAAGATGGGATTCCTTTAAGAACATTTTATATTGTTTTGTACCAATTGTTAACTTTTTTTTTTTTTTTTTTGCTTTTTGGGTCACACCTGGCAATGCACAGGGGTTACTCCTGGCTCTGCACTCAGGAGTTACTCCTGGCGGTGCTCAGGGGACTATATGGGATGCTGGGAATCTAAGCCGGGTTGGCCACATGCAAGGCAAATGCCCTACCCGCTGTGCTATCTCTCCAGCCCTCAATTGTTAACTTTTTAAGTCTTGTGATTATCTGAGAGATTTTTTGTTATAAATTTATTAGTGCTATATAAAACAAGCAAATTAAAACACCAGTGATTTACATTTTTAAATTGTAAGTGCTCTATCATTTAAGTAGTAGAAAATCAAGGTTCAGTAATTTTTATTTCCTCTCTTCCCTTCTGGGGAGAAAATCTGCACAAAGAAGCTCAGTATTGTGGGACTGCAGAGTTAGTCCAGAGGGTTAAATACTGGCCTTGCTTGTGGCTGACATCTCTTCAATTCCCAGCATCACATGTGGTTCTGAAACACTACTCAAAGTTTCTCTCACCTCTCTAACCGTAGTCACCACCTGGTTGCCTGAGTGATCCCTGATCACAGAGCCAGTCATCAGCCCTGGGTATGATATAACCTCCACCATCAGTCCCCACAAAAAGAAAAGAAAAAATAAGAAATTCAAATTTCATCTCCTGATTTACAATCTTAAACAACCCATCCCCCAACCATCTTTTCCCCGTCTTCCTAGTTCAGCGTTCTTTAATTTAACTGCTTTGATTACACTCTCATTTTCTACAGGTCATTTTTTTCCCCCATGAAACAGCAGAATCGAGTTATAAGGCTTTTCTGATCTTGTTACATGCTAATTAATTTAAATCACACAGAAAATCCAAAATCTTTTCAGTGGCCTGAGAGCCAAATAGTTCTTGGTTTCTATCAATGTCACTCATTTATATACTCTCTTTAAATATCTCAGTCCTTTCTGTGCTCTCGGGACCACTATCTAACTCACCCTAAAAGATGGTCTTGCATTTGATATTTGTTCTTCTTTCAGTATTTTTCTATGATCATTGAAGCTTTGCCCTGTCCTGCTCATTACTGACTCTCTTAAAAGTTACCTTTAAAAAGAGATCTTTCCTGATTGCCCAGTCTGTTATAACTCCTAGTTACTTACAATCATGGGGTGGAGCAATGGAACAGCAGGTAGGGCGTTTGCCTTGTACACCGCAGGCCCGGCCGAGCCGGGTTCAATTCCCATGCCCCTCTCGGAGAGCCTGGCAGGCTACTGAGAGTATGTCGCCTGCACAGCAAAGCCTGGCAAGCTCCCCGTGATGTATTCAATATGCCAAACACAGTTACAACAAGTATCACAATGGAGACGTTACTGGGCCCGCTTGAGCAAATCGATGATGAACAACGGGAGGATAGTGCTACAGTGCTACAGTGCTTATGAAACTAACAAGCTGATTAATACTAATTAATATTGACTATTAAATAATTGGTATTAATAAAAATGAACTGATTCATGGCCTTACCATTAGAAAGATCCCATTTTCATTTATGCTTTTATTGCTTTGAACAGAGTTGTCTATGTTCACCACTACAGTTCCTCTCATGCTTATCCTGCAGCGTGAATGGAGCGAAATTAAGAGACTTGATGTTGTTTTATTTGAGTCAGAATTAGTGAAGAAAACTTTTGAGAGTTTTTTATTGAACTGTCAGGATTCAACATAACTCCTTTTCATGGAAATATTTTGCATTTTTTCTTCATTTCTGTTTTGACACTATATTCAGTTTTATTGTATATTGTCTCTGTGGGCTGGAGTAATAGCACAGCAGGTAGGGCGCTTACCTTGCACGCGGCTGACCTGACTGACCCAAGTCCGATTCCTCCACCCCTCTCGGAGAGTCTGGCAAGGTACCGAGAGTATTTCGCCCACACAGCAAAGCCTGACAAGCTACCCAGGGTGTATTAGATATGCCAAACGCACAGTAACAACAAGTCTCACAATGTTACTGGGCCCGCTCGAGCAAATCGATGAACAATGGGAGTGACAGTGACAGTGATTGTTTATGTATGACTTATCAGTACTTATGGTATTATTTTAAAGAGTACAAGTGCCTTTCAGATAATAAAAACTTACTATTTTTAATTTTGATTTTTTATTTATTTAGTTTTTGGTGTTGTGGCACACTCAACAGTGTTTGGGGCTTACTCTTGGCTCAGGGATCACTTCTGGTCGGGTTTGAGGGACTATATATGATGCGAGGGAATCAAACCCAGGTTAGATACATGCAAGGCAAGTGCCCTTTCCACTGTACTATCAATCTGATCCCCCACCATGTATTTTAAGTAAAAATCAGTCACTGTAACTGTCACTGTCCTCCCGTTGTTCATCGATTTGCTCGAGCGGGCCTGGTAACGTCTCCATTGTGACAACTGTTACTGTTACTGCGAATATATCATGGGTAGTTTGCCAGACTTTGCAGTTTGAAGTAAAAATCAGTAATGAGACTTTTGCTCTAAACCACGCTTTTTTAAGGGGAGGTGGTGACAGTGCAGGATTTCCAGGTTCCATTCACAGCAGTATATGATACTCAGCCAAATAACCCAAGAATTCAACACTAGGGCCCAATATGTAGTCCTACTCAGGCCCAGCAATGCTGGGATTCTTCAAGGTTACACTTGGAGGTGCCAAATGGGAACATGTATTGCCAGGATTTGAACTCAGAACCATATACATACAAAATATGAGACCTTATACATACAAAATATGAGACCTTCATCCCCATTTCCCTGGTCCCTGTGTCATGCTTTTCTAAGAATGAGTTCTTCTTCCTTCTAAGAAGGCCCTGTTCCTAGAGGAACAAATTAAAATGTGCTCATAGACAAAGGAGTGAATATGTTGAGTCTTCTTCCACTTTGCAAGAAATTAGGCCCAGTTTTTCAAATAATTTGATTGTGATTTATCAAACTCCATTTGTTAGCATGCAAATTCTTATTCAACTTAATGAAAGTACTGACATTTATAAAAGACTTGCCCCAGGAGATGACTAATAAACAATGGTCCACTCAGGTAAGTGTTATAGGTTGGGCACAGATATCTCCAAATTTGATGAATTGTCTCCCAAGGGAGCTTTATGAGTGTGTGTCTTTGTTTTGCTGTCCATTAGGTTTATTTATTTATTTAGTTCATTATTTATTTATTTAGCTCATTGCTGATGGTCATATTTTACTTTGCTTCTGTTCTCACAGCATTAATTTTCTGTTCTTCTGCAGTACTTTGGCAGTCTGCTTGTCATTTTCTGTGTAGAGCTGGCTTGTGGTGTTTGGACATATGAGCAGGAAATTATGGTGAGTTCAAAATGGGATATAATCACAGTATTAAATAATATACAATCCAGTCTTTTAAATAAGATGCTTTGGAGTAATTCAGGCACATGATTATTAATTTGAAAGTTTAGACTATATGGTAACAATGAATAGTCTCAAAACTTCTGAAAAATAACATTTTCTTTTCTGTGTCCAAAGTGCAGTTCCAAACCATAATGTGTAATATTTCATTTAGTATTCATTTAGACAGCTAATGCTGTCAGCCATTAGCTCCACCGCTTGCTTTAACATGGAGATTTATTATTTTATATATTCTAAAATAATTTTACCGTCTTCTTGGTGTATAATAGGAAAGCTTTTCAGTTCAAAAAGGATATGAGAAAGCTTGAAAATCCTCGTGAAAGCCTTATAATGTGCTGACTAAAGCTGTATCCCCAATGAGTAGAAAGCATGCGTTTCTCTCTCTCTTTTTTCTTTCTTCAGGAAACTATCTCCTACTTTAAAAAATATATATTTGAAGAGTTGCTGTGTTTACACTGGTCTAGAATCTCTCTCACAGATTTAGACGTGGCTCTATAAAAACATTTTTTCTTTCATTTTAATAGCTAAAGTCACTGGAGCTCTTTTACAATTCAGCAATGTTAAAATAATTAGAGCAAGAGTTTCTCAGTCTTACGATTTGACCAGTTGTGTTTCTTTTATCACTCACATTTTACCTTTGCTAGTGTTTGTATTTTATCACATGCTTAACGTTTGCTGTCTTCATTAGTGGTGCTTGGTGCACCAATTGTGTGTTGGGCCTTCTGTGAATGTTGGTTATTTCATGGTGGACGCACACTTTTCCATGGAAGGCAGTGTAGAGTAACTTGATTTCACTTAGATATTCTTCAACATGTAATCCTTGGACTGTCTAAGGCAGTGAGTTCAAAGACTCACTTAGGATGAGTCTTTGAGATGTGCATTTTAGGGCTCTAGACTGACTCTGCTGAATCAGAACAAGAGGACAGGCTGAAACGGGGCCAGGGACTGGGCCTTGACATTTGTAACCAGCTCCCCAGGTGAGTCTTCAACGTAAGAACACTGAAGAAGACATGGGAAGTGTTATTTTATTTGTTTCAGAGAGGAATTTCATCACCTGTCTGATAAAATTGTAGTCATTTTTGCTACCGATTCGGTTATTAAAGATTCCGTGGTGAAACTGCTCCTATACTGTGACAGTATTGAATACTAAGTGGTAATTACGGACGAGTGGGTACTCTGCATGCTCCAATTTACATGGAAACGATGCTTCCACAATGCCACACATCTGCAACCTTCTGCAGATACTCCTTTTAATGGATGTCAACTCTAAAAAGAGGCAATTTATGAATATTTTTTTCTCCATTCAACATTGGAAAGTCAGGACAGGTTCTAACCATTTAATATAAACTCCAGAACTTTCTTCAGAAAGAAATCCTTCATTAAAAAAGGAATTCTCTTGCTAGCTTTGAGAATCCTATTTTTATTCTGTAACTAAAAAGTTTGTATATTTAGTGGAGTAAATAGCAGATGGTTCAAGGGACTCGAGTCTGTGTTTTATTGGTAGAGAGATGATCTCAACTTCTGTTTTAAAAAAATCACCTGTGAATTGTATGAGCCATTCTTGATTTCCCTCAGCTCCCTTAGCTTTTGATTCCATTCTTTGCAGTAATTGAAAAGTTTTTAAGACATGAATTTACTTTGTGTGGGATTTTAAAAGAAGCTTTGTATTCTGTTTACAGTCACTATGATTTGATACATCTTCTATGTTATTAATCAATTTGAAGAGTTTCAAAGGAAATGCTTTAGGGCCAAGTTCTATCCACAGCATCACACATGATCCTTTGAGTCCCACCAGGAGTGATTCCTGAATTCAGAGCCAGGAGTGAGCCCTGATCACCACTGGGTGTGACCTCCAGAACAATAAACAAACAAACAAATAAATAAAAGAAAATGTTTTGATTCTCACAATGTTACTGGGCCTGCTCGAGCAAATCGATGAACAAGGGCAGGATAGTGACAGTGACAGTGACAGTTTTGATTCTAGTTTTTATTCTAAAAAACTTGAGGAAACAAAGGAGAATTTCTGCTTGTTTAGATAATTCCCTCTCTGTTCATGGTCAATCTGTAGTTCCCACTCAGCATCCCAATGTTACTGCATGAGAGCACACTGCCATCTCAGGTGAGGGCAGACATCACTGTTTTTCTTGTGTAAATCTCCATTAAGTCACCAAGAGAGAACAAGGATTTTTTTTTTTAAGTGAAATGTGGAAAGCAATCATTTAGAAAAACTGTTTCAGACATTTTTTATTGCTTTTCTGCTAATAGCAGTGTGAATGAAAACTGCCATTAAGGTTTATTAGCTGCCAAATTTGCCAAACTTGGTCTTTGTATAGAATGGGCTTTATACTCTTAGCTGTTCCATGCAAGAAGCCAGTAAATGTGTGTTTTCCTTTATGGCCAGATTGCAGTATTTTATGCCATAACCTCAATGATTTCCTCTGTTTCTTGCTATGCTTAAACTCAGATAAATTGTGGTCACAGGGGAAAACAATGTGTATTTATCTTGGGAAATAAAAATAAGACCGTTTTAGTAACCAGATGAAGAGATGTGACATCAATTTACATAATATATCTATACTTCTAACATCTGAATCTCCTATTCATTGTTAATTTTCTCTAAAATAAATCTATCAATAATATTCTTTCAGATTATGAGTTTTTGGAGAATTTATTTCCATTCATTTTATGTGCAAAAAGGATGTAAAATGCTAATAATTTATAGTAAATAGCTTGAATTTTGTTTAGTTCTCTGAATCTAGTTGAAAACATATGAAAACAAAGTAAAACAAAACTGTTCATTATTTGGAGAACAAAGCTGGGTTTGAAGTATTATCTTTTTGTGCTTTTCTAGTATAAAAAGAGAAAAGAACTTATTACTTAATTAAAAAAAATTTAGGGGGATGGGGGCCACATCTGGCTATGCTCATAGTTTATTACTGGCTATGTACTCAGGGATCACTGCTGAAGGGCTTAGTGACTAAATGGGGTGCTGGGGATCGAACCCAGGTCAGCCGTGTGCAAGGCCATTGCAGTGCCCTACCTGCTACTATCATATCATTCCAGGCTCCAACATTGCTATTTTTAAAATAAGATTTCAAAATAATTGAGTTTTATTGGACTTCTGTCTATGTGCCTTCCCCCTTCTCTTTTCTGTATTTATGCTTGTTATATGCTGAATATCAAAATTGCTGGAGCGATAGCACAGCGGTAGGACGTTTGCCTTGCACGCAGCCAACATGGCCGACCTGAGTTCGATTCCTCCGCCCCTCTTGGAGAGCCCGGCAAGCTGCTGAGAGTATCTCGCCTGCACGGCAGAGCCTGGCAAGCTCCCCGTGATGTACTCGATATCCCAAACACAGTAATAACAAAGTCTCCAATGGAGACATTACTGGGCCCGCTCGAGCAAATCGACGAACAACGGGAGGGCCTTTACCTTTACCTTTACCAAAATTGCTTGACTAATCCTGGTGTGTATTATTCAATATATTAGACATGGATTTGTCCAGTTTCCCAAGAGTTATTTAAGTACTGTACATGTAGTGAGACTAGGACTTGAATGCCTCCATTTCTCATGTGGAATCATAGATAAGACTGTCAGATACACTGACAAGTTGTTCGTCTAGCTGTTATGTTGTTATGTGGTATAGCTAAAGCTCTGACATAATCGAAAAATATTAAGAGACACCATATCAGGTAACTTAAGAGTAAAGACACAAAGAATGTTTTAAGTTAAGACCTACTCTTTGTAGAATTCTTTTTTTTTTAGGAAATTTTATTTATTTATTTTTTGATTGATTCACCATGAGGTATAGTAACAAAGCTTTCATGTTTGAGCTTCAATCATACAGTCATCAAACACCCATCCTTTCACCAGTGCAGATTTTCCACCACCAGAATCTCCAGTATCCCCCCACCCCCGCCATTCCACACCTCCCCCTGCCTGTGTGGCAGACAATTTGCACAATACTCTCTTTCTCTACTTTAGTTACCTTCGATATTTGACTCCAGACACACCACCACTCGTACCTGCTGAAAAGGGAGTGCTAGACAATGTGTTTTGTATTGCTTGTTATGGATACAATATAATGTGGTGTGGCCACAAGAGCGGCCGCCTGCTCTAGCAGTTTTAAAATTTTAATAATTAGAGTCTGAAGAGATTGCTGCAGCAAGTTGCTCGGGTCCAAGATTTGTTTGTGTGTCTCTGGATTGTGGCCATATGGGAGCTTAAGTAGATGGTGGTAGGATGTGGCATCATCTCAGAGTCCCATCGGGGCAGGGGGAAGAAGGGCCTATTCCTCTCCTCTCCCATGAGACTTGGCGTTTGCTGCCACTGCCACTGGAGCGTGTTGCTGACTTCTAGAAAATGGCGGCCTCCTAGAGGCAGGAGGAGGGATGATACCTGCCCCCGTCTGGTGTAGCCCAGCAGAAATGGCCTATTGCAAAGTCCAGGGCCATCTCTGCATCAAGTTGCTCAGGTCCAAGATTTGTTTGTATGTCCTCTTTGTAGACTTCTAACATGACTCAAAAATCCAACTTTTGAAGTTACTTATTAAACTAACTCAGAATGAGGGTGATTTGAACTGAACCATTTATTTAGTATGTAAGCTGCAGTTACCTCAAAAAATTATGAAATAAAAATTAAAAGGCATTTGTCTTCAGTGATAGTTTTGTATGAGGAGGTCTTTGGGCCTGCCTATAGAATGGATAGCTTACTTTTTATAAACTGTTGTTCTTGTCTTGATTGTCTTGTATGTGATATTAGTATTAAATGATTTCACATTGGTTTTCTGATATGAAATATTGCCTTTTCTGTCCAAAAATCTGACATACATATTGTTTAGCATTTAGTTTCTCTGGACTTAACTTTATAATGCTTGTAAATATGAATTTAAAATAATATTTGTCTATTGCCTATTCTCCAGGTATATATGTGTCTAGGAATAGTTTTGTATGTGACCCTTTTAGTGTACATATGTCTAAATATGTTTATTTGTATGTTATTACTTTTTGGGCTTTTTTATCACTAGGTTCCAGTACAGTGGTCAGACATGATCACTTTGAAAGCCAGAATGACAAATTATGGTGTACCTAGATATCGGTGGCTGACTCATGCTTGGAATTATTTTCAGAGAGAGGTAAGTGCTGTAACTTCTGAAGTAGAGGCTATGGAATAAATGGCATGCCTTCAAATCAAATTTTCATATCATTTCTCCTGATAAGTGAAGCTCTGATTCAGATGCCGTTGATTTAATTATTTATTGAAAGTTAAGTAACTCTTTGCCCCATTTTTCTTTCCATCTCCTGTTTCTATCTTATGCTTCATATATATATATATATATATATATATATATATATTAGAATTTGAAACCTTTTTGAGAAACTACCATGAAATTTCCTCTGTAATGAGTAACTTGATAAATATTTAATTTCTATCTCAATGATTTTGTGCATTCAGGACTAAGGTATTATTTTTATGTATTTATTTATTAAGAGGAAGTCTCCCAAGTAGTTCTTGGAGGTACAGGGACCCCATTAATGTTCTTTGGTTTGGGGGTTACCCTGCCTCCCAGGAGACCTGGGGGCTCCTGGGTCCATATCTAGAGGTGCTCAGGAGGTGACCAGTTGATGATCTGTCAATCTTGTGGTGCACTGTACTAGCTTCCTGTATTACCTCCAGGCCCTACTATCTGTATTTTAAACATTTCAACATTTTAATTGACAATTCCTTTTTGAGAGTTAGGATTCATTACAGCATTAAAGCATAAGCTCCCTAGTCAGAAAGACCTTGCTCCAATTTCTGCTTTTGATAAGTATTCTGTGACCTTTTATTTAACTTCCTTAGACCTCAGTATTCTCATCAAAAGATAGAAATAATGAAAATACCTACTTTCCTTGGTTGTTAAAAAGATTAAATGGCATCACAGACCCCCTTCCCCACTTAGTTGAGATTATAAATAGTTAAATAAAAAAAAAAAGAGAGTGCTTTTAGCTTTTCTTATGGAACTTGCACAAAACACCACACCTTATCTTTTCAAAAGGAGATTGTATTTACATACTTAAAAATCTGGTGACTTGAGGTTAATCATCAATTCTTCAAATCAAGCTGTTCTTCCAAGCAGTTTCCTTGTGATTAGAGTGACATTTCCAAATAATTAGGCTTCTGGGTTTCCTGAATTTCATTCATAGTTGAACCTTGAGAATTGGTCTGTCTTGAATGATAGATCTCCAGTCTCTCTCCATTTACTCTGTCATGGCTATGGACAGAGACTCAGGTCCAGAAAAATCTCGAAATCTGCTTCCCTGTTTTCTAATTGTTGAGAAAGTAAAAAAAATCACTGCAACACAGATTTCCTGTTTGTTTAAATGCCTCCTGACTGTTTTTGTTTGTTTACTGTTCATTTGCACTAGAAACAGCACAAAGGGAAATTAAGGGAAGAATTCAGGAATTTATTGTAAATTGTGTCCAGCTACTGGCCCAGGTAAAAACAGGGAGAGCTCCTTATGTTCTGGGATTTGTGATGTAGACTGTGATAATGTGGTTTTAAAGAAAAATGAGTTGAGAGAAACCATTCAGATTACCAAGGGAAGCTCCACTTGGAGTGTGAATGTACTGAAAGTGACAGCACACATTTTTTTTAGATTATTGCATGCTGAGTTTCCTCCTCCATGTCACAGACTCACTTCATCTAAATGAGTGAAAAAGACCCCACAAGGGTTTATTTTTTGAAACCCTAGGTTGCTAGGATTACAGCCACAACAAAGTACTAGTCGGACCAGGTGACTTAAACAACAGAAATGTCCTGTCTTATGGTTCTGCAGGCTGGAGGAAATGAAAGGAAGGCTTGCAGGGTTAATATTTCCTGAACTTGTAGAAGATCTTTTTCTCCTTGGGTCTTCTCTGATTTCCCTCTATGTGTGTCTGTGTTAACATTTCCTTTTATGTGGACATTTGTCCTAGGAGAGTAGGGCCCACCCTTGTGTCCTTATTTTAATTTAACTGCGATTGTAAAGACCCGAAAGCCTCAAATGTGTTCCATTTTCCAGGAACTTAAACATGAACTAGAGGAGACAAGGGCGGAGTCATCCATTAGTACCTGACATGGTGCTTCTAGAGTAAATTTCGGAGCGGAAAGCAGCTGTGTGAGACACCCTACCCCCTTTTTCCTGACTGTTCACTCAGTACTGATCTGCACGTTATTGAATTTGGTGGACTCTCACTTTGGCTTTGCTTAGTCATATTTAGTGACATTTATATATAACCTTAAAAATAATTTCTGGACCTTGAAGGTATTATTGTAAGTGAACTAAGTTAGACAACTGCTTTACAAGTCTATGGAATCATAAGGAAAACGCCTCCATGGGCTGGGCTGGGCTGGGTGACTGATGTATGGACAACTTGGGTGAAGGGCAACCAAAGGAACAAACAAACCTGTAGCTGTAAAACAAATAAATCAAAGAGAGATGATTTAAAGGCTTGGGATGATACTTGATAATGCCCAGTTACATATTTGAAAGCTGCAAAGAAAGAAGATTCTAAAAATTCTCATCAGAAGAAAAGCACTTTATAAGTGTGATAGCGGTAGTTGGTGATTATCTTTATGTATTAGGCTTATTGTAGGCAATGTAAGTATCAAATCATTACATGGTGTACCTGAAACTAATCCAATGTTTTATACTTATTATAGTTCATTAAAAAATAAGTTATAAAATTTTCCTGGTGGGAAAATTGCCTGTCTTTTAAAAGACTATTTGTACAGAGTGGTTAAAGCCAGGCTTTGGTTCTGCCACACACTGGTCTTATATTTGGCAGATTTACTGGGTCCAAGGGGCTGGACCGATAGCACGTCAGGTAGGGCATTTGCCTTGCACGCGGCCCACCTGGGTTCGATTCCTCCGCCCCTCTCGGAGAGCCCGGCAAGCTACCTAGAGTATCTCTCCCGCATGGCGAAGCCTGGTAAGCTACCTGTGACATATTCGATGTGCCAAAAACAGTAACAGCAAGTCTCACAATTTGTTGTAAGACATTTCTGGTGCCCGCTAGAGCAAATCAATAAACAACGGAGGACAGTGCTACAGTGCAGTGCTACTGGGTCCAAGAGATTCCAGTTTCCATAAATGTAGAGAGGTGGTGGCATTTTTTAGATATGACACAGTGTTAACAAAAGTGGTGCTGATTCTGTGTGATGCTGAAGAAGTCAGGAAAATTTTTAAGAGATGCGGACTACATTTATGGGACATAATAATAGGTTCGTTATTGTGAGTGTTCAGCAAGTACCTCCACTGCCCCTTCAATGACATCTGTTGAAGAAGAAAAACATTTGTATAAAAAGAAAATTTATCTCTCACTTGCCAATTTTTTTACAGGTTAGCAATTAAATATGCTTCAACTCTTATGAAATTTCTTTTTGGGAGAGCTTTCTTTTATTATTACAGTATAAGATATAGGAACTGTTCTCTTATAGATAGGGTTTGAGTGTTTGCTCTGAGTGCAGTAAGCACACTGACTCGGAAATGAGATCGTTTATGATTTTTCAAAAGTCTTTGCCTATTTTTTTAATGAACATTCAATTACTTATGAAAAATATGTCAAATTAAGTGTGAGTTAATTTTTGTGCTATTGATGTGTTCCTGGATTTTAGAACAGGTTTTTAAGAGGAAAAGGAAAAAAATATTTTAAAGTTTTTGAGAAAATTTTAGTATTATGCTGGTCAGCCACCCTTTCTAAGAATCTTCATATCCTTTGTTATTTAAAAGAATTAGATATTAAGAAATTGAAAAAATAAAAATTAGATGTTGACGCAATTGGAAAGATGTAAAGCCAGTTTTATAATTTCTCATTTTTTATTTTTGCATGAGTTCAGATTTCAGCAGAGTTGATTTGAGTTGAATTCTGAAATGGTGTATTGTGGCCTTCTCTGGTGCTGTGTTTATCCTGGACACAAATTCATCTGCAGTACGATGTAATTTGCAGACAGTCACTCTTGCAAAGTTCCCCTCAGTGACTGCTGAGGGACTTACTCCTTGTCTTTCATTATATGGAAGAATAACTCCCTCTACCCAAGGGCAGAAAATTATTCACCGTAGTTAATTATTATAAATCTAATCTACATATGCCCTTAAGCACTATTCCTAAACCTTGACCAGAGACTGTTTTTGCCTATTTTTGGTCAACTGGGATTGTGTGTGTGTGTGTGGGGGGGGGGCAGGATCATTGTTTTTGTAATAAAAATTTAACTTTATTCAAGCTAATGGCTTATCCTTTCTTTTGAGATTTTGGTGATACAATATGTTCATTTATTTCTATAATCTCACTTGGTTGAGCAAGCCTATGTTTATATCTCAAAGAGTTCTGCAAATTTTATTGGTTAATTCATCCAAGTATGGTCATTTTTGTGAGATGAAAATATGCAAAGAAATATTTCTTTAAAAATATTCTATAAAAATTCTCTGCAGAGAATATAACAATTTTAATATCATATCTAAATGTGTGAAATGATTAACCTGTAAAGTAAGTGATACAATATAGACAGATCGATTCCTCAAGTTAGAATGTACACATATTGTTAGGAGATGACCTAGTGAGTTTAGCTGTGGGCACAAAAATTTAAGAAATCTAATATTTTATCTTCTTTAAGGTAAGAAAATGTGTGTGTGGGCTCTGACTCTGACCAGTGCTTGTGTTGCAGTTTAAGTGCTGTGGAGTGGTGTACTTCACAGACTGGCTGGAAATGACGGAGATGGACTGGCCCCCAGATTCCTGCTGTGTAAGGGAATTCCCAGGATGTTCCAAACAGGCCCACCAGGAAGATCTCAGTGATCTTTACCAAGAGGTAAAGTCCTATCTTGTCATGTCACCATGGATCCAAGTTTTTCTCTTTTCTTTTCCTTCTCCCTTTTCTTTTCCCTTTCCTTTTCTCTCTTTTTCCTTTGTAGCAGTGCCGGATATTGAACCCTGCAACATTCTAGCACTTTTTTCCTGAACTACAGCCTATCCTGGACTCTGGATACAAGTTTTCTCATAGTAATTTTTAAATGAAGAACTGACAAGTCAATGACATTTCTTTCCCTTCTAAAATATGAAAGTTCTTATTTACTTTTCTGATATGTAGAGAAACAGGATAAAGCTGAAAATGTAATAGCACTATCTGAACACTAATCACATTCTAACAGAGGAAATTAGGCGAGGCAATTAGTGCAAAAGGTTTTTCAGAACTAATTGTATTTAAACTTGATTTTCTGAGAAACAAGTTCTGTTTCCATCTCCTGGGTGTCCTTTGAAAACAGATGCTTGCAGAGCATGTAGCTAGTTCGATATTGAGAAGCACTGACTTTGGAATTCCTCAAAAGAATATGTATTTTAACCTTCAGGTCACTAAACCATAGGTAGGGGAAAACAATCCACTCTCCAGAGTAAAGTTTATTATCTGCTCTTCAGTTCCCCCTGCTGGTTAATGATCAATGATTTTTAGATCTAGCTGATTTATAGAGGTCAGTGTTTTCTCAGACAGTTTGTGTTTTCTGAGAGAATTTATCAGAATCATCAGTTATTCCTTTCAAGGGAGTTTTCATGTCCCTTCCTTTATTGTGGTGGCTTTTAAACTGTTAGTAAAAAGAATCTTATTTTCAGGTTTTATATCAGCTGCATGTAGCTACTTAAATTTAAATTAGATAAAGTTAAGTAAAAATAAGTTGTTCAGATATATTTTTGGCTACTATCATTTAAAACATATTGTGTCTACAACCTTCCGACTCTCAGGAAGAGGATTACTTAAGCTGTTATAACTTGAAAAAAGAATTATTGGGTCAGTGGAGCTGATTGCCACAGTGATTATGCTGCAGTTTTTTTTCTGGGTGAAAGTTAAATAGTGATGGCTGTCTGTAGTAGGGATGGTCAACCAACAACAGGCAAAGTCTTGGTCTTTTCATAAAGCAGAAAATAGTGCTTAATAGTTCTCAGATAATAATAATATAGACATTACTGTGGATTCAAATATATTCAAATATATTTAAATATGTTCTAATATACCACCATGTGGATTCAGATATATTAGAACATACTACCAGGGTGAGTTTGAGGTCATTTATTTATTTATTTGCTTGTTTTTTTGTCACACACACACACACACACACACACTGTCTTCCCGTTGTTCATCGATTTTGCTTGAGCAGGCCCAATAACGTCTCCATTTTTTTGAGACTTGCTGTTACTGTGTTTGGCATATTGAATACATCATGGGTAGCTTGCCAGGCTTTGACGTGCAGGCAAGATACTCTCTTTTTGTATCTTGCTTGTCTCTTGCTTGTATCTTGCTCTCTCGGAGAGCCCGGTAGCTTGCTGGGCTCTCCGAGAGGGGTGGAGGAATCGAACCCGGCTTGGCTGGGCTGGCTGCGCGTAAGGCAAACGCCCTACCGCTTTGCTACCACTCCAGCCTTGTTTTTGGTACCAGGGATCAAACCCAGAGCCTCATGGTGCATGCTTTCTGCTGCTGAGTCATCCCTGACCCAAATATATTACTAATATATATGTGTGTGTATATATACATATATATGGCAATACTGAGATATAAAAATTGTTGGTCTACTGTGCTATAGTAAAATTATTTCTGTTTTCTCTAGTGATTGATGCTAATGATATACTTAGTACCAATGTTGATAAAGAGAAAAGTAGAGAAAAGGAACCATTTACCAGATATTTCCATAACGTTTAAATATGACAGTCACTTCCGTTTTACTTTACTTAATTGAAAAGTGTACAATTAAATTATAAGATTTTCTTGTATAATGCAATTCAGTTTTACTAGTTTATCTTAGATTATTTCCACTATCAGTATTTATAATGAGATGCTGTAATTTCACAATGTCTACAATTCTGTGTGTCATGAATTTTGACCGAAAGAAATCATATACCATGCTTGTGAAAATTGACGGTCCTGATGATTTTTAAAGTGATTTTTCTATTTTCATCCAAAAAATTTCATAAAAAGTTGAAAATATCATTTTCAGTTATGATATTTTCTTTAGAGAGATAGCAGAGATGAGAGTCTTTCTGTCAGAGTAATCTGCTTTTGCATTTTACAATTAGCCATCACTGTCATTACTGTCATTCTGTTGGTCTTCGAATTACTCATATGGGCACCAGTAACTCTCTTCGTCCCAGTCCTGAGATTTTTTTTTTAAATTTTTATTAGTGAAACACCATGAGGTATAGTTGTAGATTTACAAATTTTTGTGCTTGTGTTTCGGTTTTACAATGATCAAATACCCATCCCTCCACCAGTGCCCATTCACCACCACTGATCCCAGTATCCCCCCACCCCATCCCACCCTGCCTCTGTGGCAGGGCATTTCCCTTTGTTCTCTCTCTCCTTTTGGTTGGGTGTTGTGGTTTGCAAAAGAGGCATTGGGTGGCAGTCATGTTCGGTCTAAAGTCTACTCTCAGCATGCATCTCCCATCCTGGTGCATCCTTGGTACATCTACACAGTGGAGTACTTCGTAGCTGTCAGAAAAGATGAAGTCATGAAATTTATATACAAGTGGTACTACATGGAAAGTATCATGCTAAGCGAAATGAGTCAGAAAAAGAGGGACAGACAGAAAGATTACATTCATCTGGGGAACATAAAGTAACAAAATAGGAGACTAACACCCAAGAATAGCAGAGATAAGTACCAGGAGGTTTACTCCAGGGCTTGGAGGCCAGCCGCACACGCTAGGGGAAAAGGCAGATCAGATAGAGAAGGGAGGACCAAATAAAGGGTGTTGGGAGGAGCCCTGAGATTTTAGCAACCTTTTCTTACTCATCTTTTTCCAACAATTGGAAGCTCTTTCAGGGTCAGGGGAATGAGACCTATTGTCATTACTGTATTTGGTATATCGAATATGTCACGGGGAGCTTGCCAGGCTCGCCCATGCAGGCAGGATACTCTCCGTAGCTTGCCAGGCTCTCTAAAAGGCATATATTTATACATATTTATTTATGTTTATATTTTATTTGTATATTTTTCCTCTATGATTTGTTGCCTACTGTCTGAATCCCATCAGATATGGTGTAGTAATTGTGGAAAATGGGTAAGAAGTGTCTTATAATGTGTCACGTGACCGCGCTGTCTGGGAAGCGGCCTGGAGCATGGTGGTGGTAGGCTGCCGGGTCTGGGTCCCATGGGGTGGGGAGGGTACTCACCCACCCCACAGCCTGGCATGGAGTCCAGTGGCATGGTTCTGGGAGCCTCCTTTTTTACTCACATATGGGAGGAGCATTATGAGTTCTGGAGGGTAGCTGATGGGGAGATTATGTGATGCTGGCAGGATGTGGCTTATGGGTGTGACCCCTTAGTCACAGGAGACTGGGGGAAGCAGAGGATCTCTGTTCTGGGTCCCATTGAGTCCAGAGTCCACAAAGTTCCACATTATCTGGGTTCCGTGGGACTTCGTTCTTGCATGAGGCTTGGCTTGAGCGTCTGGAAAGCGGCCTGGAGTGTGGTGTTGGTTGGGCAGTGGAGGTCGGTTGCTGGGACTGAGTCCCTTGGGGTGGGGAGGGCTCTCACCCACCCCACTGCCTGACTCAGAGTCTATTATAATTAGTAATAGATGCTAATACTGATAATGATATGACATTATATGCATAGATGATGTCTTATAGAAGTGGATCATTTAGTGGCTATATTGCACAAGTACAATTAAATCCATTGTTAAAAATATAAGTAAGACTGTTTCCAAATTACACTGTAGCCAGGGATCAGCCACACAGAAGATAAGTGTCTAGATAAAGGTCTGAAGTGAGGGATATTTGGAGTTATTTGAGATGTTTATGCTGAAGCAGCATATACTAGGGGGAGATATTTTAGATGTCTTCAGATATTTCAGAGTTCATCATTCAAACAGGAACTAGTCTTACTCATTGTTACTCTGAGGGCCAGAAGTTACAGGAAGGAAATTTTGAATCAATTGAAGGAAGACCTTGCTCATCAAAATCCGTCCAATTGTGAGACAGATTCTCTTGTTCAATAGTGAGTGTCTCATCACTAAAAATATTAAATTCAAGGTCAGAGGACCATATCTTTGGTAGGTAGAATGGGATTTTAAATTAAGAGTGAGTCTGGACTAGATGTACTTCAAGGTCCCTTTTATCTTTCATATTCTGTAAGCTCAGAGATAAGAACTGGCTTTCTTCCTGCAATCTTTCTTCAGTACTCTGAAATCAAGTAAATAAATCATTTTCAACCATCTGTTGACCTGTTTGGTCCCTGACCCAATAATATTTTGTGGCGCATTTTAAAATCTCTGGAAAATGACAGCAGAAATGTAGCAACAATTGCACATTTGAAAATGTTCTCCTCAGAGATGGTGTTAAATTTGTCAGACAGCTCCTAAATTATTTGTAATATGCTTAACAGTTACATTGTTTAAGGATTGTAATTACGGACAAAAATATCTCTGACCATTAGTTAGATATTGTTAGTTACATTAAATGTTTTCTGAATACCTAGTGTGATCCATATTGTAAAATGTTGAGGATACAGCAAGAGTATTGAAGGCAAAATTCTTTCTCCTTATGTAACTTACATTCTAGTTTTGGATGTTGGCATTTTACCAGGATGAAAACCAACAAAAAAATTTCAGGTGGTGGTGAGCACTTTGAAGATTATGAATAGAATGATGTACTGGGGAATGACTTTGTTGGGAAGGAAGCTACTTAAAATAGGATTGTTAGGAATAGACTCTCTTCAGAGGTGTCATTTGAACTGAGACCAATAGATGAGAATGATCCAGTCCTGCCGAGTTCTGCTGAGTGATATTTTGGGCCCAGAGAATAGGTGATGCAAAGCCCTT